GAGGTCACCTGGCACAAGGCCACACAGACAAGGCTCTGCACCCTTCTTTGGTGAGGGGTGACTAAGCTCCCGAGTGGGTCTTCGCTGCTGTCTTTAGACACGATGGTTCCAACTTATCGTGATAGAATGAAATGCCACCCGGTTCACACTGTCCTCACAATTGCTACATTTGAGCCCCTTGTCACAACCTCTGTGTCAACCCATCTCATTGACGGCCTGACCTTCCAGTTCACCCAAAAGGATGCTCTTTGCCAGGGGCTGGTCTCTCCTGATTACACGTCCAAAATGTGTGGGAGGAAGCCCGTCATCCATGACTGTGAAGTGTCCTGGCTGTACTTCTTGCAAGGCAGACTTGCTTGTTTTTCTGGCAGTCCATGGTACTTTCAGGATTCTTCCCAACACCGTCATTCAAATGCATGGACTCTTGTACAGCCACGGCTTGGGTCAAGCACACCTTAGCTCTCAAGGGACAACATTGTTTTCAATACTTTAAAGAGGTTTCTGCAGTGGATTTTCCCAGTGACTTTCTAAGGTTCTCCCAGTCCCGTGGAAAGAAAAATGAAGATGGTCAAAGACACTTGGAGATCATTAGTATAATGTTGTGGAGATTTATAGCTTCGGAAGCCCTATGGAGCAAGCCTACTGTGTTCTATAGTGTTGGTATGAGTCAGAATAGACTCCACAACAGTGGAATTGCTGTGTCATGGGGAAAAATATGTAAAATTTTGGTTACAAACCAAGTTGAGATGTTTTAAAAATAAATAACATCAGTATGTTTAACTTAAAGAAACATAACTATGAAAGTAACAGATATGCAAATGAAAAATTTAAATCTTAAATATTAAGACACAGAAAATTGAAAAATAAAAACATACAAATGTAATATAGTTAAAAAAATAAATACAGAACAGTAAATGATAAGAAACTCTAGGGGACCTTAGGGAACCGATGGCTCTCAGATTCCACAGAGAAGATTCTCATAACAATTGGCATGCACTTGTAGTTCAGGAATAGATGTCTTGCTGAGCAGAATGGACCCAGTTTTTAAATGCGAACCCCAACACACCAAACATTTCAGTGCTTGTCCCACTCCAAACCACAAAGGTCTTTTAAAAATGTTCAGATTCAGGCTTAAATCTCAATCTCACTCCAGGCGCTGAGGGTGACAGTTACAGTACCTGAGGGCCTTCTGAAACACTCGCACAGAACTCACCTCATTGGAAGACAGGGGCTGGGTGAAGGGAGCACTCGAGGGCGTGGTGATCTCACTCATCCGGAGCATGGTCCGCACGATCTCACTGCTGGTCTGCGTGGGAAAAGCAAAGGAATTCAGGCCTCCCTCTGCTGCCCCAGCTCTCACTCGATACCAATGGTCACAGCCGGCGAGCAAGGGAATGTGCCTGGTGACTACTGGCCCAGCACTTAGACATTACCTGGTCCATCCTGTTGGCGACTGCGCTCACAATGGTTTGGTCCCGGAAGTGCTGGTGGAATCTATCAAGGTTGGCTTGCCAATAAATCCCATCATCTGGTATGGGCTAAGGAATTAGAAAGGAGTGGAGAGAAATATTTCAATGCAGTGAGGAGTTTCGTGGTGAGGCGCTTGGTTGAACTGCTCACCGTTTCTTTTCTTACATGCACCAAGTAAGCTGACTGGAGAAGAGCCGCTCATTCAACCAGTGATTTGGTGCTTTGACAACTTTCCGGGCCCTAGTTCCAGGCTCACTGCCAAGCTTTCCTTATTCAAACTCTTCCCCACTACCCTCGAATCGCCCACTTGGCTCCTGCCTTTTCCCTCTCACCAGATGAGAGCTTGCCTTTTTTCCTTCTTCTCAGAGAAAATAGAAGCCAGTACAGTAGGCCAGAACTTTGTGCACACTGAGGTTTGCTTTTTTTTTTTTTTAATAGTTTATTATATTTTGCTGCTGTTGGAAACACATGCAGCAGACCATATACCTATTTAACACTCTCTACACGGACATGGAGATTCAAGTTGTGCAACCGTTCGCACACCTTCCTTTTCTGAACTGTTCCTCCTCCACTAACACGAACTCCCAAACCAAAAGCAAACTCGCTGCCATTGAGTCATTTCGACTCACAGCGACCCTACACAAACATAAACTTGATGCTTCCTCAGCCTCCCGTTGATTCTCCAAGTCGCTGTTGTCGGTCTGATGAGACTATAACAATCCTTTAAAAGGGCACAATGTGCAGGGCTCTTTACTAACTAAACTATTGCTTAGGCTGGTCTAAGGAGCCCGGGTGGCATCGTGGGTGACATGTTGGGCTGCTAACTTCGAGGTCAGCAGTTCGAAACTCTAAAGATGAGGCTTTCTCTCCCCTCCTCCGTCCCGCAGGTCACTATGAGTGAGAATCGACTGCGCGACAGTGAGACTGGGTGGTGTGAAGAGTCCAGGGGCTCTTTTACCCCTCCTGTTCAGGTGCGCTCTTGCAGGTCGGAGGGCAGGGGCTCCCTCAGTTCTCTCTCAGGGTGCTCTTTTGGGATTTCCTGTGAATACCTGCGACGTCCCTTTTCCTCATAAAAGTCACTTGGATTTTCAAAAAAATTTGGGGGCTCATCTACCTGCATAGCTCCATAAAGTCTAGATTTCTTAAAGTTTAAAAACATTTGCATTTATACCCAGGTTTATTACAGCAGAAAAAAGTTTCCCTCTTGTCTACGGTTAATATCTGTGAGTTTTCTAGCACTCACCCTCTTCTGCCTTCTCAGGGATCCGGCTCATTTCCCCCAACTTTACTGCCCTTTCCTCATTAGTCTTTCTACCCTTCAACATTTCCTCTTTAACCCTAAGCCTCCCTGCCTTCTCCTTTCATTCACCGTCACGCTTCTTTATGAGGGGCCATCCCAGTTTACTCCCATCCAGATTTACTCAACTCATGTCCACTGTGGCACGGAAACACCAAGCAAGGTCCCTAAGGAATTCTTTGTTGCTAATTCCAAAGGGTCTTTTTTTTCCCTCCCGGAGTTCTGATCTGATGAGGCCTTTCTGAAGTGTCTGACATGGTGGACATCTTCTCCTTGGAACTCCGGAGGGGCCTGGGCTGTGCCAGCATCATTCTTTCTTGATGCTTCTCCATCTGACGAGATCTCCTCTCCCCCACTAGAAACACGTGTGCTCCTAAAAATCTGCCCACAGCCTTTGCTCTTTCCCTGCTACACGCTCCTTCCGTATTCTCATCTGCTCAAAGGCTTCCACCGCTGCGGAGCCTCCAAATCTACTTCCCAATCCTACAAGCTATGAACTGCTGCACCACGGCATTCTTTCTAAAATGCAAGTCTGGCCACATCATTTCCCTGCTAAAATTCATTCATGCTCTTCCATGCCAGCAGGACAAACACCAAACTATTTGTCAGTTGGGCACTCAAGAAATATTTGTTGAATGCAGAACTGGTAGTCTGAAATATAAACCACCCACACACATACAAATCATTCAAAAGAAAACAAATATTTGTTGAGATCCTACTGGTATTCCACGAACAAGATACTGCCCTCAGAGTTTATTCCACTGGGATGGACTAGGGTGCAAAGAGAACCATCATTCCGTTGCTTATAAACGCTATGAAGATAAAATGAGAAAATGTGGTAAAGATGGAAGTAGGAATGAGCATGTTGCTTGAACTTTATGAAAGGCACATTTGAGCTCAGACCTGAACAAAAAAAGGCAAGGGCACTCTGATCTAGAAGGAAAGCATGTGAAGTGGAAGGAAGGGCAAGGGCACAAGTGGCAAGACTGGAATGAGTTTGACAAAACTGAAGGGTAGAAAGACGGAGTAGCTGAAACAGGGGGAATGAGAATAACAAGAATAGAGATTTTGAAGTCTCAACTCCTACAGATTACTTAAAGACTCATAACAGGTAGGTTTAATAGTCCATAATATAGGACTTAGATTTCTTTTAAGATTGATGGGGCATTATTAGAAGAATCTAATCAGTGATGTGTTTGGATTAAAAAACAAAAAAACCGAGCCACTTAATAATTTGGGTTGTAAAATAGGTGAGAATCCAGGTTGGGATGTCATAAAGGAGGGTGTTGGTGAACTCTTGACAAGAGATGATAGTGGTTGGGACTTGGTCAGTAGCACAGGAAAAGGTGAGAAGTGGTTGGATTTGAGCTAATTTTAGACACAGAGCTGATAGGTTTTACTACTAGATTGTGTGGCTCCTAGGATTTTGGCCTAAGACAATGATGATATCTTTTTGTAAAGTTGGCCAAGTTTCTGATGACCATCAAGTTGATTCCGATTCAATGACCCCTCAGGCCAGGGTAGAACTGCCCTTTCGGGTTTCTGAGATTCTAGACCTTTATAGGAACAGATAGCCTTTGTCTCTCTCCAGTGGAGCAGCTGGTCAATTCAGAGTCCACTACTCTACCAGGGCTCCTTAGGGCAAACTTAAAAGCAAGTAAATATTTGGAGAGAAATCAATTATTCTGTCTTGGCCATGTTAATTTTGAGAAGCTTACTAGACATCTTTATAGGGATGCTAAGAAGGCATTTGGATATAAATCCCAGGCCTGTGCCTATATGTTGAGTCATTTCTCACCGCTGGGCTCCATAAATCTCTCTGTTCAAGCCTTAGGAACAAATTAACTTTTTCTAGGCCCTCTCTATGTATGTTCCTCTGTTCCATTCAGGAGCTAAGTTCTGTCTTAGGTGGGAGAAAACGAGAGAGCTGACTCCTCCTGGGATGGACTATTCGTGGCCAATAGTTAATGAAATCCACAATCCTACTACTTCTCGGCCAGGAGACTGTCACAGCTCTCTCGGGGCTTGTTATCCAGCTTCCCTTTCTGGTCGGTCTTGGGGTGAGACCTAACCAAGCAGCCCCATTACCTCTTTGCTAGCTGCAGTCTGTCTCAGCCTCTTGGCCTTGGGTTCCCCAGCAGCATCTTCCTCAGAAGATCGCCTCCTTTTACCTTTCCCTTCCAAATAAAACAAAGCAGTTAGACTCCATCTCACACCAGGGAAAGACAAGACCCAACCTGAGAGCAGGGGTCTCTGCACCCCAGAAAGATCTGTAGCTGCCTTTAGGGCAGAGTTGCTCAGGAGGCTGAGGAGCTATGTATCTGCAACTCAAGTCCGTGTTGAAGGCATCTTAAACTCCATGTGTTGAAACACACACTCATAATCTCGCTCCCTCAAATTGGCCTTCGTCCAACGTTTCCTTTCACAGGGAGCGGCACACATCTTCTCCCATGTGCAAGTCAGCTACTACATGCCAGTCTTCAGACCCTTCTGTATTTAGTGTCCACCGTGCGTCTACATTTACCACCGCCCCATCCTGTCATCCTTTACGTACATAGAAATACCTTTAAAGAATGTAAACTGGATCAAGTTACTTCCCTGCTGGAAATCTGATGGTGGTTTCCCCTGGCTTTTAGGATAAAGAACAGATCCTCTAAAGCAGGGGCAGGGAACATCTGACAGAGGGCCGGATAGGCAGGTCCCACAAAATCATCAATGCCAGCTAATATCACACGTCTCACCAAAGAGAAACAGTTCCAGCCATCACAGGAGGGATGAGTTAATTAAATGTTTGACCACTATGGCCCGAGAGTGATGTTATCCAATAGCTCTGGCAGAGAAAGTTTCCCCACGGCTGCTCTATGAGGTGCTGCTTGATCTAGCCCCTGCCTAGCTAACACCGCCTCTCTCCTTTGCACATCATGCTTTAGCACACTGACCTGCTTTTCAGTGCCTCACCCCCCCCCAGGCCATTCCCGTTGCTAAAATTGCTTAGCTCTGTGTCCCTCCTCCCTTTCCTCACTGGCTGGCTCCATCTCTGCTCCAAATCTCAGCTCAGATGCCATTTTCTCAAAGAAGGACATGCCCTAAGCCACCACATCAATCTGGTCTCTACTCTAGGAAAAATGGAGTGAAAAGATAACAGATTTTTTTCTATGAATTTCTGAAGCCCTCTTATAATTATTGAAGCCCTTTTATAATTATTTATTATAAAAGTCTATACTTTATAATACCCTATACTTTCCCTCAGTTTGTTATTCTCGATCTGTGTGCTTATTTGATTGTTGCATGTCTCCTAAACTAAACTAAAGCCCCCAACGGGTGTTTTTTTTCATTATTATCTGCTGTAGTATCTGGCGCATAGCAAGCCCTTGGTAAGTACTGGATTGGTTCATTTATTCATTTAAAATGAAAAAGAATCCCCAGTTAGGGCAAATTTCAAAGTGAAAACTCCTTACCTATCAAGTTCAGCTTAGGAACTAGGTACATGTCCTTTTCATTAATGACAAGGGTGGGGGCCGGCGGCGGCGGCCCAGGGTCTGAATTCTCGGCGGCAGGTGCCAAGGGGCAGCGCTGAATGAAGTGTGTGTCTGCCAGCCTCACAAACGTGCTTGAGACCTCAGCACAGTCCATGGTCTTGCCATCTGCACAATGGGGGGAAGAGGTGGTTGAGACGGTCTTCTTCCACCGCCAGATAATCTAAGCTTTGGCTGGCACTCTGGACACAGTACTGACCTTCCATAGTCTCTGTGAGTCGGTCTGCTACTTTCTGCACGACGGCCGACATGGTCATTTTGCCATTCAGTAGCAGCTCCTCCACGATGAGCTCTCCCGTGTCACTGTACAGCGTTTTGGAAGTGTAAATGTACCGGGGATACCTCAGCATTCGCACCACCCGGCTGCACTGGGCTTCGTACTCCACCACTCCACGCTTGTGCACCTGGTATGTCACCAGGTTATGTTGGATGAGGACACAGAGGGCTTTTTTCACCTAGGGAGAGCCCAAAAGAAAGAAAGGTCTGAAGATGGAGCTCCATATCGCCGGCAATTTCTTCAAAGCATCAGAAGACGCCTTCAAAGCATCAGAAGACACAGGAATCTCCCTGTGCTCCTGCCCTCCCCGCATCAGCATCACGCCAGTGGAGGAAACCCGGAGCCTCCCTTGCAACGATGCTTCGGTTTCCTCTGCTTTCAATCTTTCAAATCACAATCTGCTTCCATTCTATCACTCTCATTCCTTAAAGGGAAGACTGAGATGAGGAGAATAGGAGTAAGCAAAGGAAATGTGAAATAGGAAGAGGTATGATTTGCCTAAGAAGCCACCAGGAGCTAAAAATATTTTGACAAGCAGCACCCAAGCCCCATCCTCTTTTCTTCCAAAGAACACGGTTCTGAATGCTGGGGCAGGCTTCTCTCTTTATCCATTTTCTTGGATGGAGTGTGACAAAATTTAAAGATAGGTGGCAAAAGTGTCAGCAAACTTGATTTAGACATACCTGATCCATCGAGGTTCCCGTGTCATGGGCAATCACTCTTAGTGGCTGGCTGCCAGTTCTGATGAGATGGACTCCGATTTTCTCTACGATCTCTCCAAAGTGCTCTTGCAGCAGCAGTGAACACAGTTTAATTTCTGCTTGTGTCATTGTACTGAGTGGCGGTGGACTTCAAAACTAGAAAACTAGAAGAAGAAAAGAAAAAGAAACGCAGTATAGAATTCTTTTCTCTTTTATGTCATGGGTAGAAATGCTGATCATAGTGCATGCGCTCTTGCTGGAAGGCAATTTGGCAATATACGGCAAAGCTTTAAAGCCTAGCATATTTTTGACCCAACCATTTCACACTGAGTACTTTGTCCTGAGGGCAAAATAAGACGCCAAAGCCCTTCTCTTTTTAATATTGAAATACTAGAAGCAACCCGATGTCCCGGCAGTAAGGGATTAG